TTAATGATGTGAGTGAGTGCAGGTACAACTGCAGGAGAAATGGCTTGAAGGAGATGAGATGGAATAGGATCAAGCGGACAAGTAGTAGGATGATTAGAAAGGATGTGAACGAGTGTATGTTTGCTGGTAAGATGACAGATTGTGGTGTGAAAAAGTTGTGCACTGATGGTTTTAATTTTATTAATGAAGAACGTGGCAAAGTCTTCAGCTGTTAGAGTTGATGAAGGAGGGGGAGGAGGAGGACAAAGGAGGGAAGAAAATGTTTTAAAGAGCATGCAAGAGTTAGACGAATTGTTAATTTTGTTATGATAGTATGTCCTTTTAGCAGTGGAGACATTAGCAGAGAAGGAAGAGAGGAGTGACTGATACACATTAAGGTCAGTAGTATTTTTTGATTTGCCCCACACCCTTTCAGCAGCCCTGAGCTTAGAACGATGTTTGCGGAGAACTTCAGACAGCCAAGGGGTAGAAGGGGTGGTACGGGCTGGTCTAGAAGACAAGGGGCAGACAGTGTCTAAACAAGATGTAAGAGTGGAGCAGGAAGTATCAATGGGAGTACCATCCTCAGGAAAGTTTGCGAGCAGCACATCTAATTCATCCAAGAAGTTACCTTGTGGTCCTGGGGGTCGATAAACAACTACAAAATGGATTTTAAAAGGGTGGGTAATAGTGACTGAATGTGATTCAAAGGAGCTGCTAATACCCAGAGAAGGTAAAGGATTACATTTCCAAGCATTAGAGATAAGCAGACCACCTCTACCTCTTCCAGTTAGACGGGGGGTGTGGGAAAATGAGAAATTATTGGAGAGTGCTGCAGGTGTAGCAGCGTCCTCTGGTTTGATCCAGGTCTCTGTCAGGGCCATGAGGGTTTAGTCTTGAATGACTAGCAATATATGTAATGAAATCTGCTTCGTTTACTGCAGACTGACAATTCCAGAGACCAATAGAAAAAGAAAGTAGTGTATTAGCAGACATAGGCAAAGTGTGCAGGTTGTTAGGATTGCACTGCCTATAGTGTGAGATGTGTGGTTTGCGAGTGGTAGTGATAGTAGGGATATGGAAACGTATAGTAAGAGTTGGTCATTAAAACTGAAACAGAAGTGAAGCAAGGTGTAGAAAAGAGGATGAATCAAAAGTGATACTTACTGTACGTCCCTTTCCTTTTAATTACATAGAATTTAAAAACAATTATACTTTTTTAAAAATTAAAATTCCAACATGTCACATTTCTCCCCCGAATATATATATATACACAACCTCTATATATTAGATCATATTTAAGGGAGTGAAATCTTTTATTTTTTTATTTTTATCAGTATCATAGTTGCCCCCCCCCCCCCAACTTAAATAATTTAAAACTAAAAACATTGCAATAAACATACATTGAGTTATACAGAATGCATAAAAATCACCTGCATTTTTCTTTTGAAATTAGAATACAATGCATGTACTAATTACTGTATATGTATGTATGTATGTATTTATTTATTTTTAAAATACTTTTGAATATTTAATGATAATTTTGAAATGGCATTAAATGTTAAAAAAATATAATATTTGCAGAAATCAGTAGTGGCATACTGAGTTCAACAATAACCCTCTAAATTAAACGATTTAAAAAATAGCATAGCATTTGCATTCATTTGTGCATTATATAGAAAAATTACCCACTTTTTTTTTTTAATTACAGTATTATGCATGTACTGTTTTTTTTCCCTGAAAAAAAAAGCAGATTTTTTTTTTTTTTTTTTACTGTGTTCATTTCTGATATATTTAAGGGAGTAACATCATAAAAATGATTAAAAAAAAATTTAATTGATAGCGTAGTAGTCCCTCTAATGATTATGGCAGTTATGGCCCTAGTAGTTTGAGCCTAAAATGGAAAAATATAAGCGTCGGCAAAATAAGCCTTTTTAAATGAAATGTAAAAATAGCAGATCATTTGTATAAATGGGATCTAAACGGTTTCCTGAGAATGATACTTTTCCTGTCAGCGTTGAATGTTTGTCACATGGCTATTGCTTAGCAATGTGTTTAGGTAGTATGTGTGTTGTTTTTATTCAATGAATTGTGGAAAGCGTAATCTCACCATGGGGAGATCCTGAAGTCTGCGAAACTCTGGGCCGTCATTTG